CCTAAACCCTAAACCCCCCAAAACCAGAAGTACCTTCAGCCCTCAAAGCCTTACCCGCGCCCCATTCCCTCCTTCACACTCAACCCTACAGGCCTCTATAGTTCTTGAACCGTAGAATAGCTCTACAAACCTAAACCCTAAACCCAAAACCCTAAACCCTAAACCCTAAACCCTAAACCCTAAACGATAAACCCTTAACCCCCCTAAACCCTTAACCCTAAACCCTAAGCCCTAAACCCAAAACCCTGCATGCTTAAAAGGATCTCAGAAGCCCAGAAGTTCCTTTTGGAGCCTATAAAAGCCGATAAGCCGGCAAGATCCAACAAGCACCTACAAAACCCGAAGGGTTCAGGGTTTAGGGGTTTAGGGGTTTAGGGTTTAGGGTTTAGGGTTTAGGGTTTAGGGTTTAGGGCTTCGGGTTTTTAGGGTTTAGGGACCCACAAAACCCGAACGAATCGGAGGTAAGTCGCCCTCTCGTCGTTCCTGGAGACCGTCTCAGGCGCAGCACGAGCTGATGCAGGCCCGCGTCCTGCACCCTGAACCACACCTTAACCCCAAACTTGGACAGCTTGTTTAAACAACATACCTGTTTCAGGGGCTTTGGGCTTAGGGTATAGTGTTACTTTTCTTCGCGCAGCCTTCAGATACACCCTACGCCCCAAGCTGTAAACCCACATCCCGAAACCCGCAATCCTCTTGAGGACCCCTAAACCTTAAACCCTAGACCCTAGACCCTAAACCCTAAACCCCCCCTAAGGTGTCCTGCTAGCCCTAGACACGGGAGGATCCCTGCAAAGTGACGCTTCAAGGAACCCTGCAAGACGAACCTAAACCCTAAGCCCTAAACCCAAAGAACCCTAGACCCTAAGCCCTGAAACCTAAGCCTAAAACCCTAAGACCCTAAACCCTAAACCCTAACCCCTATTCGGGTTTAGGCTTTAGGCTTCAGCGTTCGGGGCCTGGGGCTTCGGGAAGTTCACGGGTAGGGTTGCTTGAAGGGTTCTAGGTTTCGGCATGGAAAACAGTCGCTGAACCCGACAGCCTAAACCCTACGCCCTAAACCCTAAACCCCCGAAACCCGGATGCTTCAACTATACCCCGAAGCCCGAAACGCTAGCTTAGGCCCGAAAGCAAGCCCGAAGCCCTGCACCCTATACCCAAAAGCCCGAAGCCCTCAACCCTAAACCCCAACCCCTAAACCCTGAAATCCGAAACACTCAACCTGATACCCTGCCTTCAGCTACTAAAGCTTGCGCTGTTGTAGGATCCCTACAAACTTCGCAACACACGATGGTCTAAACCTACCCAGAGAAACCAACCTGTTTTCTCAGGGTCCTGGTACACCAGCCCTGAACCCTATACCCTAAAACCTAAAACCCTAGCCCTAAACCCTAAACCCTAAACCCTAAACCCTAAACCCTAAACCCTAAACCCTAAACCCTAAACCCTCAGCCCTAAACCCTAAACCGTGAACCACAAAACCCCGAACCCTACAACCAAAACCCTGCTCTCTAGAACCCAAAAGCCCTAAAAACCCTGAACCCTAAAACCCTACAACCTCCCAACCCTGAACTCTAAAACCCCCAACCCTAAACCCTAAACCCTAAACCCTAAACCCTAAACCCTAAACCCTAAACCCTAAACCCTAAACCCTAAACCCTAAAACCCTAGAACCCCGAGCCCTGAAGCTTCAAACCGAGAGGCCCTGAAGTTCCAGCTGACCGGTTTGGACCTCGGGTGCTTCGGATGGCTCCTTCAAGGGGTCTAGGGTTCATAGGGTTTTAGGTTTAGGGTTTAGGGTTTAGGGTTTAGGGTTGAGGATCTAGGGTTCATAGGTTCTAGGCTTTAGGGCTTTTTGGGTTGTAGGGTGTAGGGGTCTAGGGCTTATAGGTTCTAGGCCTTAGGGTGTTTTGTTTAGGGTTTGTGCAGGGCCCCAAAACCCAAAACCCTAAACCCTAAATCGTTCAGGGTTTGGCTTCTAGACTTTTGGGTTCACGGGTTCAGGCTTCCGGGTGCTTTGAAAGGATTTCTTAAGGTTTAGGGGTTCAGGGTTTAGGGTTTTAGGTTTCAATCAAAGCTTCCTTTGAGCTTCCTTTACCAGAGGGCACCGTTGAGGGGCGCCTTAGGGCCTTAGGGAGCTCCGGCAGGTTTAGAGTTCGAATAGCCTTCGGGTGCTCTTTTGATAATGGGGGGCGGTTTAGGGTTTAGCCTATTACAGAACCCTTTAGTACCGGTAAGGGGACCCTGTTCTAGAACCCTTTACATACGGGTTTAGGGTTGAGGGCTCTTGTGGGTTTAGGGCTTTCGGTTTAATGAAGCGGTCGTCCATTCTCCCGGCAAGACCGATACTGAAGGAACCCCCAAACCCAAAACCCTAAACCCTAAACCCTAAACCCTAAACCCTAAACCCTAAACCCTAAACCCTAAACCCTAAACCCTAAACCCTAAACCTCATTAAAGGAACACTGGCTGGAGTCTGGAGGGCTGTCGATTTTTTGTGTCACCAGGGTTTAGGGTTTAGGTTTAGGGCTTAGGGGTTTAGGGTTTAGGGTTTAGGGTTTAGGGTTTGGTTTTCTGTTTGCTCACACTTTGTTTTTGGTAATGTTATATCAGCCGAACTGTGGTGTATTTTAGAAGTAGGCCTTGAGAATGCTGGAACAGGATTGCTTGTAACGATCCTGTTAGTGTATGTTGCTGCTGTACCAGTCAAGACCTTCTTGATTTACGGAATGTGATGAGAGGGGCTTTAAACAGCAAGGTCGTTATAATGTGTGAGGATTCAGACACACAGGGGCATCAGCGATTGATCAACGTTTGTACTACCTTACGAAGAACGGTGTTCATTCGGGTTGACCCGGTGCATTGATTAACACATGTACAGCAATTCTCCACACATAACCATACAGATAATTCACCCGGGTAACAAACATCATCCTAGCAGAGGCGGGAACACAGCAAACGAGTCGAAGTGAACCTGAACCTAGATTAACAAGCGAACCAGAAGTGGGATAGCCTAAACCCCAAACCCTAAACCCTAAACCCTAAACCCTAAGCCCTAAGAACTACCGCAGTAAACCCTAAACCCTAAACCCTAAGCCCTAAGAACTACCGCAGTAAACCCTAAACCCCAAACCCTAAACCCCAAGCCCTGAACACCTGGAGTGCAAGCACACGCGTAAAGCACCTCCATTCTGAGAACAATCACATCGACTCTTTAGTTCAACACAGCCCTAATAATAGCGACGGTTTAGGGTTTAGGGTTTAGGGTTTAGGGTTTAGGGTTTAGGGTTTAGGGTTTAGGGTTTAGGATGCAGATAACAAAAACTATGAATACGAATAAAAGGACAAAATAACAAGAAAAATAATGGACATAATCATAATAGTAGTTAATATTAACAACAAGAAGAAGAATGATAGTTATAAAGGCCATCAGAAGAAGAATGATGATAGCAGTAATTGCCAGCATGATGCCTAAACCCTAAACCCTAAACCCTAAACCCTAAACCCCTAAACCCTAAACCATTGGGGTTCCCTTCACGAGTCCAAGGCCTTATTCGGATTACCACGGCCTCTATGTGGGCAGTTCTCAAAATTAGGGTTTAGGGTTTAGGGTTTAGGGTTTAGGCACAATATAGTACGGCACCCCTATAAAAAAGGACCCCAACAGGGACCCGAATTTAGAAAACTACCCATGTTAGCTTCCGCAGAAAGAGAATTGCTAGTTATCAGCTGAGCCTAGACCCTTCACCCCCCAAAACCCCAAACCCTAAACCCTGAACCCAAAGCCTGAACCCTAAAGCCTAAACCGTAGGCCCTAAACCCTAAACCCTGAACCCTAGGCCGCTTCGGCATGAGTTGGTAGAGCTGTAAGCCATCGGTAACATAGAAGCAGGGTTTAGGGTCCAGGGTCTACGGAATGGCCAATCATATTCCTGGGGGCTCCTCATTACAAGCATACTATAATATATACCCCCCCTAAACCCTAAACCCTAAACCCTAAACCCTAAACCCTAAACCCTAAACCCTAAACCCTAAACCCTAAACCCTAAACCAAAACAAACAACCCTATTCCAGTTTTTAAGGCCCCTACATTATTCACGATGCCATGTCAAGGCTCTCATGCGGGGCTTCTTGAAAGGGTTTAGCGTTTAGGGTTTAAGATTTAGGGTTTAGGGTTTAAGGTTTAAGGTTTAGGGTTTAAGATTTAGGGTTTAAGGTTTAAGGTTTAGGGTTTAGGGTTTAGGGTTTAGGGTTTAAGGTTTAAGGTTTAGTGTTTAGGCTTTAGGCTTTAGGGCTTCGAGAGATTTGTTGTAGATTTGTCTCTAGTACTGCTTCAGCAGAAGCCGGTAGCCTTTATGGTTTTTGTGATTTTATGGATGCATCACAGTCGAACAAACGTTCCACGATCCATTCACTGGCGCAGATGTACCTGGGCTTAGTGGGTGCCACCTCTCAGACAAGATGATTCGCGTTATGAAGCTGTCCGGTGAAGAGCTGGCAGCTGTGAAGCTTGATGTCCTTACTCCTGGGACTGTGATAAGTTTGAAGCACCATTTGCATCATCTTCTTGGCATCCCATTGTGCATGCAATCACTGGCAACATGCACTGGTTGTTTGGATGACGCTGCTAAGCTGGATGGCCTCGGTGATGTGCAGCTGGTTTTGCGGCGAGCTTCCACTGCGGCATCACAGTGGGAGTTTACGGAGGCGCTTCTGGGTGCATGCGCTGATGGCAACCTTGAGGAAGCGCGCATGCTTTTGGAAGCGGGTGCGGATGTGAACAGCATTGACGAAGGCAGTCTTGCTGGTTTGAACCAAACACCTCTCATTCGGGCGTGCGTGGGAGGCCACGTTGAGGTCACGCGTATGCTTCTGGGCGCTGGTGCCAAGAAGGAGCTCAACGGATACGACGGCCTCACCGCTCTCATGTGGGCATGCCACCAGGGCCACATTGAGGTTGCGCGACTGCTTGTAGAAGCTGGTGCTGATTTGAACTCGACTGACGACAATGGCTTCACAGCTTTCAGTCAGGCATGCGCGAGAGGCCACATGGAGGTCGCACGTTGGCTTCTGGAAGCTGGTACCGATGTGAATCGGCTTGATGCGGATGGCCTCACAGTTCTCGCTCGGGCATGTGAGGGAGGCCACGTTGAGGTTGTGTATATGCTTTTAGAAGCTGGTGCGGATGCGAACAGGTTTGACGAAGATGGCCGAACAGCTCTCATTCGAGCATGCGAGAAAGGCCATCTTGAAGCTGCACGCATCCTTTTGAGAGCTCGTGCTGATGTGAACCGGACTGCAGATGCAGATGACGTCACACCGCTCATTGCGGCATGTCGCGGAGACCATGTTGAGATCTCGCACATGCTATTGCAGGCTGGTGCCGACACGGATTCTCGGCACATAGGTCTCATGGGTGCAAGCGAACGCGGCAGCATTAAGATTACAGGCGCGCTTCTGGAAGCGGCGGCGGATATAAATAGGATTGACAAAGCTGGCCGAACAGCTCTCATTCGGGCATGCGAGGGAGGCCAGATTGAGGTTGCCCGTATGCTTCTGGAAGCTGGTGCCAGCAAAGACCTGCAGACACCCGACGGCTACACAGCGCTAATGTCGGCCTGCAACCTGGGCCACATGGAGGTAGCACGCATGCTTTTGGAAGCTGGTGCCAACAAAGACCTACAGGGATATGACTTCGGCTACACAGCCCTAATTTCGGCCTGCAACCTGGGCAACATTGAGGTTGCACGTATGCTGTTGGAGGCTGCCGCTGATATGAACATGGCTAACCAATTTGGAGACACCGCTCTCAGTTGCGCACAGGATCGAGGCAACCTTGACATCGTGCAGTTGTTGTCCGGAAGTGGCTGCAAGTGACACGGTGCAATGCAGCAGCAGGACGACATGGTTCGGCTGGCGAAAGCCCGTGCCAAGAAGGATCTCAGATGCAACGTGCTGACCGAAGCTCTCGCGTGCATCAACTCATAGTTGCTCTACGAAATCAGACACATCATTTAGGGTTTAGGGTTTAGGGTTTAGCGTTTAGGGTTTAGGGTTTAGGGGACAGTATGTGCAGTTGCGAATCGGTTCCGCCGTTCTGCTGGGGCCTGCTGGGGGGAAATCATGACACAGATTCGCTCAAGCCGCTTGACATTTTCGTTGTTGAAAACGGTCGTAGTATAGAAGTTTTTGAAAAACTCATATTATTCTTTAGGGTTACATCCTATACAACTATACCAATATTATTGCTAGGTCCCTACATTACCTATGGAGAGCCGTCGAGATGCGGAAGATGTTTGCTTGATACTTAGAAACTGGGGTTTGGGGTGGATGTCGGCGAATTTTCGAAAGAAAGGACGACCTAGGATAGGGGCCGTAATAAAGAGAATAGGATTTGGGGGCCCATTATACTGTAATTACACTAAGGAACCCCTAAAAATAGTATTGATTATTATTTAGGCCCCTACATGAAGCATCCTCAACGAATGTGTGAACACGCGTGTAAAGAAGCCTAGGGTTTAGGGTTTAGGGTTTAGGGGATTTATGGTTTAGGAACTTGCGGCAAATAGGTTGCAGAAATCGAAGCATTGCTTCGTATTCTTGGGACCAGGAGAGTAGGGGCTTGCGGTGTTTGTATAATCTAATTATAATAGGGAACCTAAACCCTAAACCCTAAGCCCTAAGCCCTAAACCCTAAACCCTAAACCCTAACCCTTACCCTTAC